CTGAAAACATGGAACATATTCCTGCCTTCCCGTCGATTGTTACATAACGAATATTCTACATAGGTATATAGAATTATGTGTGTATACAATAAATTATCCACAGTCGTTTACAATTTGAACATCTATAATGAATTTGAAATATATTTTTAGGTTTTATGTATGTATACCTACACTAATAATTACATAATATAATACTTGTATACTATTATTTAACATAATATTATAGTTTATCTAAATACAAAAGCATTGAATGCAATATTATGGTTTTCTTTTGTATATTGTACATATATACCTCCCAATCTGATTCTGTCAATGGTTCGATTTCGATGCTTTATTTCTTTGTTTCATCTAAAGACAATAAAATATAATACACAGTACTGCGTATATATAGATTAGATTTTAGACTAAGATATTATATCTCAACGACATCATGATGTGATAAATCTAGATCCGGGATTAATGTAGGTACAATGGGAAAAAAAGTAGGTACTTGTTAAAATCATTACATTTCAACCGTTGTGCTACATTACATTATTATATTTTATCGTTTAAGGCAATTTAAACACAATAGAGATAATAAATGTGAAAATCGTGGATATATTTTTAAATTTATAATAAGATTTCTTTATAAAAATTACTAGATGTTACGATTTGACAAATTATAGGGCGTGCAAAATATCCGTGAGAATCGTTCGAGGAGTCGTCGCGTATTAAAAAAACGCTGTTAAGTACTAGCAGTTCTATTAACATAAATGGCATGCAATAGTAAAACTATCGTATTTTTTAATGTTTTAACGTATGAAGACATTGGATCGTTAAAAATAACATGTCGAATTAGGTTACAACGGCGAACGATGGTAAATAATATTATACGTTAAGCGATTAACGAATAGCTAGGACTAAGTTTAATTCAATATATTTTATTACTAAGGAATTCATTTTTAGTTATCTGATTCAAAAATGGATAGTATGAATACAATACAATTTATTATAATCATATTAAGCATGATACATAAACATACTTAGGCATTAATGCATATTTCATTTGAATTTATTAGATCTACATTATTTCGATTCGTAATTTATATAAATTCATCTATTTATAAATGTTAGAAAAATTATTAACAAAGGATTTTGTTATAATAACATATTATGTATAATAAATAACATGGTTAAAAATATTTATTGCACGAATTTAAAATTTAAATTTAGATTCACATCGGACATAATATCAGCTTTATAATGATGTGTTTTAAATTATGTGTATAGCGAGTAATGTTTGAAGCCAATTTCAATGATGTAGGTTTTTTATTTTATTTTATTATCACATTTTAGAACAAAAATGTGTTTCAATCTATAACTTGAGGTATACTTTCAGGTAAAAAATTTAGAAAATACTCTAGGTGGTCAAAATTTATAATCGAGAAAAACTAACAATAAATAGCTGGAATACTGAAAACTCGGAATTACTCAACACGCGTTTTTGACTAAATCAATGTTGTTTTTTAGTTATAAATTGTAATTTATAAAGAAATAATATTAAGCTTTAAATTTTTCACTAAATATTTATATTATATTATAATTAATAAATCATTCTATAATTTTTAAAGTATTTTCGAAACTTTTTGCAATAAGACATTTATGAAAATTTGAAAAGGTTAGTTAAAAGGTCTTCCTATTTATATTTATAGTTACAGATATTTTTCATATGCGTATGAAAGTATGAAGTTAGTACTTTTGCAAAATTTGTAAAAATTAAAAAATATTTAAATCATTTTGTAGTTTAAAATATATTAAGTAAATTTTTATTTAAAAATGAAATACCTTGTCTGAAAATGTTATACTATGTTCCTCTTAAGTTGTTCTTAATGGAATTAAAAAACAAATCAGCTTAACCTGTAATGGTTTGAAAATGAAAACAAATAATAAGTATAAATATATAATTTACTCATAATAATTTCTTTATTTATAATATATCTTTGTAAATAGAGGTTGATCCCCGTCTCTTTTTCTCAGGATTGTTTTTTTTACAATTATTTTAAATTAGATATAGGTAGTAGATACTTACAGTGATCTACTTAATTAAGTGGTATAATTGACACCTACTATACAGATAAGCGAGTTTTCTGATTTTTTTAAAGTGTTATCTAAGCTTATTGTATTTGTTCATTGCTTAATATAAAACTCAAGCCGTTAAAATGTAATTTAATTAAAATGTCTTAGCCCAAACTGGTAAACTATGTCTATAGAAGAATTAAACCAAGCCCAGAATGAAGCTTGCTAGTGTAAAGTTTATCTGGATTTCTAGCTGATTGTTTTTGGATTTGAGTTTTGTCTAGGAATATCTATTTAAACATCTATTATATAATATTAAATATGTATTTTAGTAACAATTATTGGCTATTGAATATGCTAAAAATGTATGAAAAGAAATTAATATTATTCATTGACTTAAAAATTCTAAGATTAAAATAATAGTATAGTGGAGTAGTATCAGCTAACGAGGGAAATTCAGCAAACTTTTACATAAATCCTGTTTCTCTTATAAGTTTTGAATGCTATCAATGCTAAACGATGAAAAATAAAAATCTATGTATATTTTATAAACTGAATCTAGTAACTATTGCAACAAATATTGATATATTTATAACAATTAAATAAACGATAAACACTATATAACTTTATTAAATTTTGGTAACAAATATTTTATGGTCCAAAATCTGAAAAAAATAATATAAAATAAATATGACAGCCAAACTTATCAATTGATAATTTCTGAAAATAAGTTTTGCGATTTCTTATTATTTAGCGGTCATCGCTGTTGAACGATACGAAAGTTGTTCAAAAAACAAGTGTTTCGTTTTAAAAAGAAACATTTATTTGTTTATTATACGTTCATCATTTAGTATAGGTACCAACATTAAGAAAACATGACATTATAAATTTAATAATATTTTATGATACTCATTAATTTATGTTAAATTATAATATTATTATAATTTTTTTCGTATCATTTTGTGCTTTTGGTTACTTATGCCTATAAATATAATGATTATAATATTCAAAACGACGAGCGATGTATTTATGTGTAGGAGATATTCGAGTACATTTTAGGAACAATAATATATAATTATTATAGGTATACGAGCACGAAAAACCGCTATTATCCTTATTATTTTTGTATTATTGTTGTTGTTGTTGTTATTATTATTATTTTTTTTTTGTAAACATTTCTATCTCTAAATCTTTTTTTCTTTCCCGTATGGTTCTGACAAAAGTAAATATTAGAATATTAAGAATGATAATAATAATAAACGTTTGATAATATTATAATATTGTTTTTCTCTTGCTATCTTATCATAATCACCACATAATATATCATATTTATACATACCTATCTATCTATAATATAAGTATATACTTTCACTGCGATTTCACAGCGAATGAATTCATCCTAAACTTGAAGTGCACCTATACATATATTTATAATATTACATATATATGTGTTTGTAAAAACTCGAACACACGCGTGCCCGATCTGTGATGGGCGGGCATACTTGAAATCTGCGTATAGCGTGTATATATATATATATATGTGTGTATAATATCCATTATATATGTGTTGTATAGTGAAGTCCAGGTCACCGTTATAATAACATGCTCATATGTGTTTTTTTTTCACCGACGAAATTCCGTATAGCGCGTACCCTGCACCTACTTAGGTACAACGTATATAATATTATCGTACATGTTATATACTATATAGGTACAGAATTGAATTTTTGAACTCATTTCAGTCGATATCTTTGAATATTTTTTGTTTTAACACACTTTAAATATTTCTATTATGTTTCAAGTCCATTCCTTGTTATTAATGTTTAATAAACAAAATCATCATTTTTTTGATTTCTAAATAGCAACCAATATATACATGTGTGCTAAGTAATTTTTTGATTAAATACTCATTATTTCAAAATCTATTAATCTTTTTGAACCTAATCTATGACAATAATTTTTAGAATAATAAGTGGTTCATGATAAAAGAATCACTAGTAATCATTATTTTAATTTTAAATATTCCCTAACTATAAATTCTTCTGAAATTTAAAATATTTAATATTTTTTAATATTTAATTATAATGATATGCTGTAATACGACTGATTTAAAGCTTAAAATTATATTATTTTAAGTTAAAATTTATGGAGAAAAAATGTAATGATATAAAATCTATTTATGGTCTTTTAACTTTCCAAGTTGACTTATAAACTACTCGTTCAAGTTATCATGTATACATTTTTAATAAATATTTTCATAATTGCGGACAATTTGAACTCGTGTGAAATTTAAAGTTATACCGTTTCACTCGACCGGTTTCCCGCGGTTTTGATCGATGCAAGTTGTTACTGCGATATATGCGATCAAAATAAACTATAATCGGTTGATATTTTGTATATTTTTATGAATATAAATACACGATACCTTCGTTTTTAAATCTCTTCTTTTTAGCTGACCGTCGTTACTTTCATAATACTTCTTTTATTTAAAAACACTTTTCTTGTTCTATTCACTCTCATTCCCATCTTGAAATTAAAAATTTAAATGTGCTACTTCGAAACATCCATGATAATTCTTGTTTTATTATCTCTACTACTCAATCAGGTTAAGTTAGGTTATTTAAAAAAAAAAAACCTTTCACCAGGATGACAATACTCGCCAGTAAAAATACGCCATTTTTAAGCTTAAATTTTTAACTTTGAAATATATTTACATTAAGTCTCTGTATATCTCGGGTTCACACCCTATACATTTATTGAATAATAATAATAATAATAATAATAATATAATAGGAAGACTTCTAATTGTACCGGACATCGTCGGGGTCACTTAAATTTGGAGGTGTCCGTCAGCCGTTAGAAGATGTTTTACTGCAATATAATATGTATATAATCATCAAACACGTAACATTATTAAAATAAAATATCGTAATTGGTTTTTGCAGATCGACAGCGCAAGGCACAGCGATGAGCACAGTGGCCGCAAAAGACTTTGTGACCGTCGTATCGGTGGACAGCGGTGGCCGTGGCGGCGTTCAGACGGTCGAAGATTCGTTTGTCACCGTGCTGTCCATCGGCGAGGATGCCGCCGCCGCTGCGGACGGTTCGACTTGCAGCGCCGCCGAAGAAGTGCTCGTCTACCGTCTGCCCGGCGAGCGATTGGGCTTCGGTTTGCGGTTTGACGGCGTGGACACGTGCAACCGGCTGTTCGTGCAGTCATGCGCCGACGGCAGCCCGGCGTCCCGCACACAGGCGTCGTGGGGACCGCTGGCCGCCGGCGACGAAATCGTCCGGATCAACGGCCGGCCGGTGAACAGGCTGAGCCGCGACGATTGCGTCCGATGCCTCAAGGAGTCCGGGCTGGTCGTCAAGCTGCACATGGTCGACGGTCGGCTGGCGGTCAAGGCACCGCCGCCCGTGCCTCCCCGGAAACAGAAGAAATCGGAACCGCCCCCGCCGATCGCGTCGTCCACTCTGTACACGGATGCCGTCGAAAGGCAAGTATTCGTGTAAAATATATCATAATGTCTTAGTATTTGGGCCACATTTTATCTACTTAACTTCGTATACAATATTTGTGTACATTTAATAAATTGCTCGTGTATTGGGTCACAAACGTAAAAAGCAAAAATATATAAATTTGTAACGTTTATTAATTTTAATACCTTTATAATTTAAATTTTTTAAATAAATATAGAGCGTGACATTAAGTACATACAATTAGTCAAATCGTTATTAATTTGTATTCAAATAATGCGATACAGATTTCACAAATTCAAATCTGATCTTATCCCCTTCTTCCTATTTTAATTTAATTAAAATTATAATTATTTTTAATAAAGTTTGTTTCCTGGCATTCAACGATCTTACGCTTCTTTAAAATAGTGGCCCAATCACCAGGTCATTTTATGTAACTGATGTAAATGTACAATTTTAGTCGCTCAATTACCGTATAGATTTTTGAAAAAAGGTTATTATGGCCCAATTCTCCGACGCCTATAACTATAATGTGAAGTATTAAACTATTTAGTATGAGTTAAACACTACAGTATTTATCAATGGTAAACATTATAAAATGAAATATGATATAACTTGAATTAAAAACGAGACAATGTCAGACAGTAGGTAAGAATTTATATTATTTTATAAAACTATTAATTAAAAAAAAACATTTAATTTGCCTTTCATTTCATATTTTACGCAAGTCATCCAACTAGAAAATATAAAAACCGACAGGTTATATAAGCGAAAAGTGAATTATAGTATCTGATAAAATTTTCATTTATACAGAGAAAGGAGGTACAAAGATGACGATCGATGATCAATTTCTAGTAATTAGTGATGATTGATGAACACTGTGATTGTATTATATATAGATAACGAAACTCATCTAAACAGATACAAACCTATTATTTATTAAATTATGTTAAAAGAATTGCCTTGTAGGAATGTCTATGTTGATTATTATATACCTACGCGATACTATCAAGTGTTGAGTGTTAATTAAAAAATAAAGCGTTGTTGCAATGGGCATACTATTTTTAATTTCCCTTGCAAATCGAAACAATTAGGATTTTAATTAGGTGCCTATTGGGAATAATGATATATATGTTTTCATCACACGGGTATTATAGGCGTAACTTCACTAACTATAAAAGAGTTTTTATATTTAATTATAGTATTATACAATTACAATATATCATATAAATAACGTACCTATTCGAATATTTTAAACCATTACTTGTTATATTGAAGTAAACTGCGTAGGTATTTATGATGTTTTTAAGATTTTGTCGTTGTGGTAAGCTATTTAAACTATTTTCTAATAATATTATCAATACATGTTATTATTATAGTAAATTTTATAAGAATTGCATTCATATAGCTTACTTTTTGCCAACTGTTGCCTATACATGCGTAGATAACATAATATAATATAATAATACTTATTGTTAGAGTAAGGTGGGAAATTTTCTTTAGCAATCTTACCTCAAATATTTACTATGTTATGTTTACCTAAATAGTTATCTACTTATAAAGAATAATTTAATACTATATAATAATTATGCTATTTTTAAAGATCTTATACTATATAAGTAGTTGTATCCGTAATAAAAATTATTATTATTAATTTTACTCATAATCTATCTCCATACTATTTGTCCTATCTTACCACAACTGTGGTGTGTATAAGATAGGAAAATTCAGCTTTTTTAGAAAAACAAAAATAACCTCATGAAAATTGAAATATTTAAATTGCGTATGAATGTTTAAAAATTGCATGTATTTGCACTCCAACACTTATTAATATATTAAAAAAACTATAATAATCACGAAAATATATCTACATTGCAGGTTATTTGTTTATCACGGTGAATCAGAATCAGATGATACCAACAGCAGCGTTTCCACGGTGGTGTCAAAGTGTCCTGCCGAATCTTCCGTCGGCGAAGACTGCGACGGTGTGTTGAACTGCGGCAGCGACAAGAACTGCGTGTTGGACAAAGTGCTTGAGCCGTTCATGCAGCTGGAACGGGAGTTTTCATCGAGCGCGGCCATCGGCGACGACGTGGGATTGTACGAGAAGTTAGTGGCCGTGGCCGAGGAGGACCGGCTGCCACCTAAGCCACTGCCTCGAAAGGAAGTGCGGCCGCCTAAGAAGAAACCGCCGCCGCCTCCACCACCGCTTCCTTCGACGCCGCCGCCGCCTGCTTATCGGTTACCGCCCAGGCTTGTGGATTTCGTGCATAAAGACGAACCGACACAAACAGTTGTAGACACAGCCACTGCAGCTGATGACGACGACAACGACGATGTTTTCGCGTAAGGGCGTAAACCGATTACTTCCTACTCACCCACCGGCGACGGGATACTACCCGTCTCATTTATTTAAATCTAATTTTTTCAATCCTATTATTTATAATAATCATTATTTTTATTTATATTTTTGTCATCGGATCCCCACCACTACTTCTCCAAAGTGTTTATGCTGGTTAAGTTCAGACCAAACCGTCGACCGATGCCCATATTATGTTCCTAGCTCGTGTCACGATAAAAAAAAACTTGTTATTGGAAATTCCACGCTTAGGTATATTTACGGTAATTGGTGTTAACTAAATTGTGTAAAAATGTTTGCAATCGAGGTTTTTTGCTTGGGTTCTACTTGCAATGATGAAATTAATAACTTTGATTTTCTTATATTATCTCAAGTTTAATTAAATGTGACTATAATAATTTATAAATGCATATATCTAAGGAATGGATTTGATTAGGCAACTAATTATTCGGCCAAATGTAAACTCCTACACAAATAACCTTTTTACCTGAATTATCATTAAATGTGAACTCTTACACCAATAATCGTTTTACATTTTTACTTGAAAAAAAAATAGGGTAATATTATTGATTCACGATTTTGTAGTTGAAAAGCTCAAAAAGTTAAAAATTATCATAACTTGAAAATAATAAATGTATAAAATACAAACATTTGAATAGAGCATTTGCAGTACAAAATGTTAATAGATTAACGAAAGTAATTAATATGGTATCGGAATATTGCAAACAAAAATAAATATATACTAGGAGAAATTTCACGTTTAGAGTTTATCTCCAAAGTGTAGCAAAAAAATAAACGTAAATGATTATGAGTTATGACTATTGTTTTATTAAATTATTTTATTTTTTAAACAATTTTTGTTTAATATTATGCATTAATATATTGCAAGACTGATATATTTTTATAGTGGTACGAGCGGTATCTTTTTTTATCATATTTTGTAAGAGTTAACAATATGTATATGTAGAAGATTACATTACAGTTGTAGGAGTTTGTCATTTCCCAATTATTCAGCTGAAAGTAATGTTATTGTGGACCTACTTGCTACCTTAATTTTATTTTTCAAATAAGGTAAATTCCCTTGATATATTTTTGAAATTATTACATTTTTACATTTTATTGTTTTATAAAAAAAATAGTTAGTATGCAACTTTTATTTTTTTATAATTCATTAATGATTTAAAAGTTTAATACATAATCAAATGTATATTATCTAGTTATTAAAACTGTATCACAATATTTTTCAAATTTGCTATCAATTTGTAGTATTAAAATTTGAAGAATAGGTACCTATTTTATATGCGTTAGTTTATTAACTTTCTTCAATCATTGTTTTACGTAAAATAAATGAAAAACAAGTACAAATCGTAATTTAACAATTTTTTTTAGGTTATAAATATTATATATATATATATTATATATTTGAATTTAAACTGATGTCTGATCGTTAAAAATTAAATTTGTAATTGTATTATCTAATGGAAAATAATAATAATAATACTATAATTTTGAATAATTACAATGTAATTAAAAATTTATAGATTTGTGAAAAGATTGTAAATTGTTACATGGTATTTATAATACATACCTTTGAAAAGATTTAAATATATTGTTTCTAATTTAAAAATATACCTCTAACAATGTAAAAGCATTTTAATTGTTTCATATTACTCAAGTATTATGTCTAAGAAATTGATTTTTCGGAAAATAATTTACCGACATAATTGAATGTATACAGTTAAAAACTATATTACTATTTAAAAAATTGTCTTTAATTCATATGTCGTATTTAGAAAATTGTTTATTAGTATTCAAATAAAATGGTCAATTACTATTCACTTTGATCCCTTTTCTCAACAAAATAATACATTTAGGACTTATTTGTTTTTAATTATCACATCATAATTTTATTAATGTAGCGTGAATAAAGAATTTTTGATAATGTTAGTCAATTGTTTTAAGTTTATGACATTAGCTAATAATTAGTAGATAATAGATAAATACGTTTTTTATAATTATTTACTTAAATATTTGCTTTATAATTACGATATTCAATACATTTTGAATCATATAGATGTCATGATAATTAAAAATTGTAACATATTTCATTATTTTTTATACAAATTCAAATATTTTTTACATAGAAAAATTATATTCAATATAATTTTGGCTTTAGCTTTTAATATTATTGTTGTATAAATATGCTTATCATTATAATGAGTTTAATGTAATAAAGAAAAAAAATGTATGTCATATGATTTGATTATAATATTCAGCTTAATCTTATGTGAAAAAATTCAGTGTTCGGAAAGGTCGAAAAAGGAAACTACTTAAATTAAATTAGGGAAGGTTCGCTTTTCGTTTTTAAATTTTTTTAACTTAAAAGGAAAAAAGTCTTCAGGATTTTTAATTTCCGTTAATTAATTTAGTAAATGTATTAATTTTTAGTAAATATTATAAATAAAGGTGTTCATTATATTATAATAATAAATTCTTAGAAGGATTTTATATTTAGATTAAAATAATGATTAATACAGAGTAACAAACAACAGTATATCTTATAATATTATCATACAATGTACATTAATGATATTTATATAAGAAAAATGTCTTGAATATATTATATTGAACGGTTATCAATGTTATTCTTATTAATCATTATCAACAATAAAAATCTTTACATATTATTATTATGTAAAAACTAATCATTTTAGCGTTTAAAAGGTTCTGTGTAAATAATAATAATTATGAAAGATAAATGTTTTTCTTTTAATTTCTTCTAATACGTATAGTAAAAAAATAATATTTTAAATATTTGTAAAGAAACACAAATCTGCAATATTTCCATAAAATACATTTAAAATGTGTAATCCAACTAACCATTTTTAATCTATAAATCTTACACTGACTGAATTATTAATATTAAAAAACAACATCCATTGACATCACATCATTTGTATACCAATATAATCAAAGATGAACATTAATTGATTAAAAATTGAAAGCTAAGTTGTAACGTTATATTTTGTTAAGTTTTGATTTCAACTAATCAGATAATGTTCTCATTGACTTATTAATTTAATTAGTTAAAATTCTATTGTAACAATTTAGCTTTTTCCAGTTAATTTAGAAAAATACAAAGTTAACTTAAAATCATGTTTATATATATGCCTAGTTACTTAGTTAGCACATAAAATGATTTTAAATACAAACAAATATTCCTTGATTTAATCATTTAGTTAACACAAACGTGTAATTATCTAAACAATAATTATAGCTTATAATAAGCAGGAGTATTATAAGATGCATTAAAAAAAAAATTATTTAATTGTTATAATTATAATTGAAAGATGTATAATCACTAAATATGTGTATATGTGTTACTCTGATATTAATTTAAGAAAAACATAATTAACTGAATTAATATTTTTCTCCATCTTAACTTTAAACTTTTAGAATTTAAATATTATTTATTAACTATTCACTATTACAGCTAAATGTTCTCTTCATTGACTTTTTAATTATCTCAAGTTAATTGTTTTTATTTATTTTCCACCTTTTACTGTAATAATAAATCGCATAAAATTTCTTAAAACCATTGGATAGGTTGTAATAGTAATACAATATTATGTGGCATGCCCCTTTAATCACGACCACTGTGTATAAGTGTTTATCTACTCGCCGGTGGAACGGCAACCATTAGTATTTAATGTTATAAACGTCGGATGGAATACAATTTAGGTTTTTATTTCTCTACTATTTATTCACTCTTTTGATATTCTTAAATGTTTATTTTTCAGAATTGTCACCGATTCAATTACTATTCCGATAAATGATGAAAAAATAACAACTGCAGAGCAACACAATCAAAAAAAAGGTAAAAACAATATTATATTATACTAATATAATAAATAAAATATCACGATAGTAACAACTAATAACTATTTTATGAATCAAATTCAAGATATTAAAAAAAAAAAAAAAAAAACTAAAACAAAAATTAAACCTTAAATTTTGAATGGTGTGATGAAAGTATTGGTTTTGTAATGATGTTTTTAGTAGTGTTTAAGTAGTAGTGTTTTTGTGTCTGGAAACACTTTTTAAAGTCAAAAAAATATTCCAATCATAACCTTTGAGGGAAAAGTCTATAGAGAATTAGATCTATAATTATAGTTTATAAATATATATATAGGTTAAAAGGTATAAATTCCCAATTACTTTACAAAATAATCAGGAAAAACTTGATTATAAAAGAATCCAAATATTTTACACGAAATCAGTTTTTGAATAAATTAAATTAATTTATTTTTTATTGTAATTTTAGAATAACAGACTGTCTTTGCTCTTAATTGTTTTTAATCGTATAAAATAATTTATACCAAAGACCTACTCATATGGCTATTAGGTATATTTAGGACTTGACATTTATTATATAACAGAATGGTTACTTCTACTTTTCTGCTTTTTATTATAAAAATAATATATTTTTTGAACCATTGCCGTAAATGACTACCATGTTTACCTATTTGCTTTAAACTACTTGTTTACATAAAAACATAACTTGGTATTTGTACTTATAAATAATAATAATGATATGTACATTGGACGAGATTAAAATGTCGTTACAGGACTCAAAACGATATATTTGTTAGTATGTGTGTGTGTGTGTGTGTGTGTGTGTGTGTTTATCATTATTATTTAGTATTGTAGGCATATGTAGATACATTATAAACAATAACAACACGATGAGAGATAACGACGCGCGTGGAACTTAAACCGCAAACCATTCGGTCATGAGCATCGTTTAATAATATTAAAATAATAGTAGTATAATATTGCAGTATCAACTGCACTGTTGTAATGACGCGTATCCGGAGATCTAGAACAATATCATAGCCACTACATCTGTCTACAATAATATTATAATAATTTATTCTATCATATGATATCGTGCGTATATACGTAATAACAGTAATAAGTTTTAATATATATTTCTATTGTATTACATATTGTACTTATACTAATAATAAACCCTACACGCGCTCGCGTTTAACAGTGATTTATAACGCGTAAAACTCGTACAAGACGATTATGACGACGGAGTACGCTAGACGGGTATTAATTATCGTCACAGGTATGTGTGCATTAGGTTATTTAAAGATCAGTTTCGATAAAATAAAAAAATAAAACTATTCTCAAACTCAATATAATATATTATTTATATATGTATATTGTTTTTATGAAATTTATATTAATAATAATTGATTTATGTCGCTTTAATAGGTTTATATAATAGTTAATGTGCATTTTGATATTCCTATCACGCGTTACACAGTATTTGGTTCATGTTCCGACGTGTATAATTTAAAGATTTCAACGAAATGTTTATAAACTTGTATAATGTAATATTAAATACTCAATAAAAAACAATATATAAGTAGTATTATTACAGGTCTGCGCAGTGGTTTTACTTTGGAAGGGGCTGATTTTTTGCTATATATATATATAGGGTAGACTTAATTTTCTAGGATTCCGTATAAGTTCGGTACGTTGATGCCGTGAATTTTATCGTTTTAAACATATGCAGCGATTTTCATACAAATTATAATTTTTAATATGTGGTTATGTCTTGCGTAATTAGTTCACAGAACACTGAAATCATTTTTAAATACTTCTAAAATTCAAGAAACGCTGCTGCTCGCTCAGCTTCTCCTTGCCGGTACCACTGCCATGTTTTGAGCAAATATACGTAATGCCGAAATTTAAGACATATTGACATGTAATATCTAATAAAATATATTATGTATTATATATTTGCCAATGTTTATTGATATATATTATATCAGAGGCGCACGTCGTTGATAAAAAAAACCATTCATGGTATAGAATTTTCTTAAAATTTCCTGAATATCTTACATGACATTTAAGATTTATTTTGTAATTTTGTTATGCAATTTTAATATTATATATTGTATAAATATACTAATTTATGGCCCTAATTATCTCAGAACTTTTTACAGTTGACTATCGCAATTTTGATACCGTATTTTAAAGATCTTCAACCTTTTTTTACGAAGGATCAAATCTGAGATACACTTCGGCAACGCGGGCCAATTTTTTTTAAAGGAATAGAGAGGTAATAAAATTGAGAATAAAAAAGATATTTTTCGATTTTAGAAAAATTAATATTTTTTTCGATTAACGATCGCCGGCTAAAACATAATAACGAAATCGATGGGGTAATCGACAACGATTAACAAAAAACCATTTATTTTATTTTAAAGTTTTATTATTTTTCTCTTATTAGGTAATACTATTTCTAAATAAATAATATTTTCAAAACATCAACTAACTTGGCGGGCTGGTTTAAAAAACTGGACGGACCGAAGGTTAGAGACCCCTGCCGTATTTTAATGCTTATACACACGCACGTGACACATGACACTGTCTTATGTATTTTAACCAGCAGTATATGCTATACAGTAATTATCTACTAAAATAGTATTACCATTCTGCGGAGCCAAAATTATCAGTTTTTCGTACTATCTACGTTTCATCTGTAGGACATAAGAAGACAGCAATATATTAGTGTATATAATATTTGGCCACATATATAATAACTTTTTTGTTCTCGGAGCAGAAATCGATAATTTATTATTGAAATTAGTGTTATGAACTCGCCAAACGACTACACGATCGCGTTCGTATGGATCATTAAAATATTATGAGTGTATCTATATGGTATCTATATTGTAAATGAGGTATTATCTCGATTATTATAATAGTTTTACGAGATTTACGCGCGTAGAAAGTCCCCGTCGTATACACATTAGTACATTGCAGTTGAAGTTCGTTAAAATAATATTATGTGTATCGATCATCGTTTTGAACGTCGGCCAGGTGTACTTAGTAACAACAGATGAAAAAAACGTATTAAATTGATGAAATCGCGATGAACGCAATCCATTATTCCGCCGTGATATATTATTGTACATAATAAATGAATGTATATAGGTTCAGCAAATATACATACCTTTGACAGTGGGCGGGGGGCATATATAGTAAGGCACTGTGTACAAACTATATGTGTGCGGGTATACTATATCTGGTCCTTATTATATATGGACATGCCTATATTATACTTATTTACGTGCATTAGAAGTATTTTAAACATTCTTGACCTGATTTAGCGGAGTGCAAATAAGCGCGATCTCTATAATATATATACCGGTGCTTACATGTTATAGATGTAATGACATAATGACGTGCAATATTATGATATAATATGATATACCTATAGTGTATCATCGCCACGCGTAGAATAAGTGTGTAACTATAAATATCACATGAATACGACAACTTTTCATGTGTTACACATGTCAATTAATAGATAATATTATTACTATGGGGTTGAAGTACTTAGAGCGCACCCGTTTCAGTTACTGTGATTTACGGAACAGGTATCAGTTATAATATAATAAAGATGTATTATAAGTAGATGTAAGATGGTTTCAGTAGCGTCGGTTTATTATAGGTAGATTTTATATTCGGCAAGGAAAATAATTCCGACGTAAGATTTACCTATATTTCTGTATTTTGTTATATCATAATCATATTCAAATATCACCCACTGACCCACCCATCTTGCATGATTTACATTTCTGGAGAATTTATCACTGTTAGTGTATTGACTGTATTGGTACGTATTGGTTATCACGTTTATCGAGCGCTTAATAAGTTGTATGTATGATTTATACTAGCGAATCGTCTCAAATACGAGTCGGTACGTAACACTAGTTAGTATATATCGATACCTATCAATTTTTTCTTTTAGACAATTTTACAGGTATATCACTTGATTCACGCTAGTTTTAAGAGTTTTTTGAACAGTTAATAAGGCATTATGATCTGTATTACAGAAATACTAAGTGTGAAACGCCATTGTGAAATCTTCGGCCTATGTGATATGTCCACACACGTATCTACGTAAATATACGGAACTGCTGCAGCGTGTCCCTCTCGTCCAGGGCGGCAGTTGGCATGTATAAGAATATAAATATTATACGATGTTGTCGTGGGTGGTCCACGCGTTTCGTATATCGTATAAGTTTAATACACACGCGTATAATATAATATACACCCGCATGGCGTTGCAAAACACCATACATATGCGAGACTTAAAAGGGGATAAAAAAAAAAAAATAAAAAATAAAGCAACAACCGTGCCAGTTGGCCGTCGACACCGATGACCTCAAACTCGCGGCACGCACGCACGTCAGCAGGTCCAATAATATATATAATATCGTTGTTTATTGTGCATATATTGCTGTGTATAACTATATAACATTGTATTTATATCATATTATACATAAACTCCTTGTTGCAAACGAGCGCCCAAGATAACCCGTTCACGAGATTAGACGTGTGATGCATATAATATGTGTAAGACGCATATTCGAAGTAAATGCAATACAAAAATCAATTATAATTTTTTAAATAATAATAAAGATTAAAGGTTTATATAAGTATATAATAACACTCGAAAGGTTGTTGTCGCAAACAAAGAGAAACCCGGACGCGCAACAAATAGTATGCATAAAATTTCATCGCGTGGGAATATTATTATTATTACAATATTATATATAATATTCATAATATATATGATATATCATATATATGTATACGATAGATTACATTATTATATATTTATGCACACTTTAATCGTTCCGTGTTATTACGTATACGTAACATGTCTGGATATACAAGACTATCATCGGGCTATATGTAAATAATAGATTTATTTTTGTTTTTCATTATTTTTGTAGAAATGAGTATCTTATTTAAAAATTAAATTGTTTGAAAAATATAAATTAGATC